TATGTATATATACATATTCTTTTTATTTATTTTTAACACAAATGGTGACACACTGCACACTCTATTTTTCTCTTTTTATTTATTAATATTTTCAACACAAATGGCAATATACTATATACTATTATCAATAGGCTTCTATGAATAATCTTGCATCGTTCCTCATGTGTGAGAATATATTAGTAAGACAAAATCTGAAAAGTAGGCTTGCTGGATCAAAGGACATGGATATTGTAATTTTGAGAGATATTGCCAAAGGGAAGTGTTTTTTATTTATACAACGAATTGGCTACAATTCGTTTATTTATACAACGAATCCAGCCATGAGGGCCCCACTCTCATGACCTCATCCAAAGCTACTTGCCTCCCAAAGGCCCCACTTCCAAATATCATCCATTGGGGTTAGGGATTTAAAATATGAATGTTGGGGGGACACAATCCAGTCCATAGCGTGCTGTGAGGCCCCTGTGGCAAGGACCTGAGGCCTACTGGCTACCGCGTGAGTGAGCTCGGCAGGGAATCCTCCTCCCGCGGTGGGGGGACAGTGTGTGACTGTGACCTTGATCAGTAGCTTGACTGTGACTCTAGGAGAGACCCTGAGGCAGAGCCACCCAGTGAAGTCATGCCCAGATTCCTGACCCATAGAAACTGTGAGATAATGGATGTTTGTTGTCTTAAGCCACGAAGTTTGGGGCAATGTACTTACACAGCAACGGATAACGAATAATCATCCAATATCATTCCGCATTCAAATTTTACCACTTGCTCCAAGAATGTCTTCTACAGCTATTTTCTTACCCAAATCAGTATCCAGTCTAGGTTCATCCACTGCATTTGTTGATTATTTTTAGTTTTTTCTAGTTTTTTTTTTAAACAGCATTGACATTTTGCAAAGCCCAGAACAGTGAGTGGTCTGATTGTTTCTTCACAGTGTTGTTTAACTTGTTTCTCTTTATCCTGTAAACTTAAAAGTTGGATCTAGGCCGGGCGCGGTGGCTCACGCCTGTAATCCTAGCACTCTGGGAGGCCGAGGCGGGCGGATTGTTTGAGCTCCGGAGTTCGAGACCAGCCTGGGCAAGAGCGAGATCCC